GATTAATAGTATCTATTATTGGTGGGTATATTTGATAAAAATACTTTTCATTTTTCACTCGGTGTCATATYGTGCGTTAAATAGTGTACAGACGTGTATAACAAAATAAAATAAAAATAAATTTCAATTATTTTTTAATTATTAATTTTTTATGAATTATGTTTTATGAAAGCAAATTTTAAAAAAGGGTGGCGATTCACATCAACTTGAAATGACGCGTTAAACGTGYTATCATTTTTTTGTCGCAGCGAATGTGTTATAGGTAAGCAAGTAAAAAAAAATGGTACGACCTATGTTATGGATACTGATGCCATCAGATTGATTATCTTGTTTTTCACATTGTATTCTTTCTGGGTTCAAATTCCACCACGTCTCTTTCAATTTTTCTAATTTCCGTTTATTAAGTAATAATAAAATTGCGTTATTGAATTGATCTTTTAACGGAGAACCTTGTTGAACAGCAATAGCATATGGTTTTCTAGAGAACTCATCGCCRACCATTTGTAAATGGCAATCGATCATCACTTGATATCTAATATCTGTGGCGTCTCCTAAAATAGAAAAATATTTTCATTTCTCTAATACATTYARTATAATATTATTTGGCCATAATATTTTATAAGCAGTTGATACATCTTAAATATGTAATACCCAAGTAAGCGAATCCTTCACTAGATGATTTAGAACTTTGAACTCTTTCAATGGCCTCTTCTAAAGAGTTCGGTAGTTTAGCTTCTTTCATTGCTTGCCACATTTTTGTGTACTTGTCACTTACTGGATAATCCCAAACAGCCAATTTTGCTCGCTCTACTTCACTTAGGCTGTCATTTAAACTCATATCTTTCCATATTCTAAAATTATGAAAATATAAGTGTTTAATATAGTTAGTGTTTTGACGTATACGGCGTTACGCGATTTTTAAGTAACATTCTAATACGTTTAAATTAGTATATCTACTATCATAGATTTATAAAATAATATGTATATTATACAATATTCAGCTCTAACACACAAGCGACAAGCATATTATTATTTGAAATAATAATTATAATACRTACCTATAAGGAATTTAACTATTTCTAGRATATCGAAAAAATCTCTAGAGTACCTTACATTTAATTTTAGATTTTGAGCGGAGCGACGATTTTCGACTTTGGTACCTTGTTAGATCAAAAAATGAATCTAGTTGGTACTGTGAGGGTCAAAAGTAAAAAATTCCCAATATTTTTCTAAATAATTGAGATAAACAAACTAAAAATTAAGGTGAAAACCGGAATTCTTACGCACAATCAGTTTTCGACAATATTGATTTTAGATTTTGATGTAACTTTAAAACAAATGACCATAGATATATGCAATTTTTAGCGAATGTTTATATAAGTATATTCTATCCACCATACAATTGAAAAAAAATTTCGACTTAAGTTGAACTATTTATAGGCATATACAATTTTCGATGATAATTAGTTTATTTTAAATTAATATYGATAAAAATTTATTTGTTGGGTAGAAAAGCTTGAAAATTTAATACAAGACTCCTAATATATTGTTACAATTGCAGTTGAAAAATAAAAAAAA